TGTTTTATATGCAGCAGCTTCTTTTTCTCAAACTGATCAAATCCAGATACATTTCAAATATGCAGTGTTGCACAATGATGCCGATTAGCTGCTCTAAAGTCATAGAAGTTTTTGGATTGTTGGTGGTGCTACTTGGTGAATCACAAGGTGAGCTGACATTTTTTTTCGTAACAATTTGCAGATTGCAAAAAAATGCATTTTTTTTTGTTTCTGCTACTGTATGTCATAATGTATGTTTAAAACCTGTAGAGAAAACCTATTCTAAATGATTGCCATCTTTTTTTTGTGTGTGTGCAAAACTGGCAGTTAAGTCTTTATTTTAACTTCATCGAATTTCAATTTCAAATGTATTAAATCGCACTCTATAAAAGTTTAAAGAATGTGTTGCTTTATTTGAGGAAACCAGTTCTAGATGAAAATGATTACCAGTAGTTAATTGTCATTTTTTTTCATTGACAAAGAAACAAAAGTGATGTATTTATGTAGAAATACTATATAAACCATGCTATGCTTCTAAAAGAAAATGTGCATAGAAAAAAACAAACAGGAGTATCTGAAGGAATACCAGAAAATAGCCTTTGCTATTATATCTTTTGCAGGAGTGGAAACTTACTGTGATGGCAGACAGGATGGAGCTCGGTGTGATGGGGTTCTAGGGGGAAGTCTGTCTATCCAGCTTATGAGCAACTCTTCAGATATACCCATATACAACTGGAAAAAAGGTTTAGAACAGATTTATAATAGCAGACAGAATAAGATTGTAAGTAAAACAATGGAGAGCAGGACTGTTTTAACCCTGAGTAATGGAACAATCAGGATCAATAACCTGAGCTGGACAGATGGTGGCAATTATACTCTGGAAATCTTCAATTCAGCTGGTGTCAACAGCGGTCAAAGGACTCTGCAGTTGTCTGTTCGAGGTAAAATGTTTCCATTATTGAATTGAGTTAATGTTATCATTTTAATTACAACATTCAATTTATGATGTACAGAACAAGGACACACCTTTTCTTTTTATCTTCTGTGCATTACTGTAAATTAAGTGTTATTAAATGTTCCAGGTGCATGTTTCCCTCGACCCAGCTTTTCTGTTTGTTCCAGAGTAGTGAATGTTTTTTTTTAAGTGTATAATGATGATTCTGTTCACATACCCATTTACATGTTTGTCTTCTACCAGTATCACTTGAGGAGCAATTTAAGGACAGCTCTGTTGAACCAGAGGAAACCTCTTCACAAGGTATTGTGGGTTAGCCGAAAATAAACACAGTACTTTTAACCAAATTGTAATCTTATGCTTTAAATAATATTACTGCATTTATATACTGAAAAAACAGAAGAATATTGCTTTGAAATCCTGTTACTCTCTTTTACATAAAACCACGGGTTTCCTTTTGAAGCTAAATTGTTGATCGTTCTGATTGCTGGACTCGCAGGACTTCTACTTGTTTTAGCAATAGCTATATCAGTCATCTGTGCCCTGGGGAAAATACACAATAAGGGTAATTTCACTTTTTGCAATATATATTTACATTTGAAAAATATCTTGCTGTTAATATATATACCTAGGTTATTTAACTGCTGCTTGTGTCTCACTTTTTTACAGTGGAAGTAGCTGATCAGGAAGTGAACTACGCTGATGTCAAGGTTGTACAACTGATAGAACAAATGGAGCGATACACAGAAGCAGAAGGGCATCACTGCAGAGTTGAAATTTTAGAGCTGTCGGATCAAGCACGAGATAATTGTGAATATGCACAAGTTTGTAAAGAGAAATGATTTGATAGATCTAAAAGATGGTGGTTTAAGAAGGCTGTCAAAATGCCACTATTGAAGTAGATGCAGAGAATATGTAAAACCATAGATGCCGTGTGTATTTGTTGACGGTAAACAATTTGTAAAAATTTCTACTCTCTCTACTTTCAGGAGATATTATTCTCTTTCTTTCTATCATTTTTATCTGGAGAAAATAATCCACAATAATCTACAGTTTAATTTACAATCATATAACCACAGCCCACAATTTAAATAGAAACACTATTTAATTTAGGAAGGAAATAATTAGTATTCATATGATTATTTTCTTTAAATACGTTTCTGTTTTAGAATATCTTCAAAGTAAAAGCTTCAGAGTTATTTCAAAAGTCTAAATGACTTTTAACTGTCAACTTTTTAACTGTCTGTGACACATACAGTACAGATGAAATTGTATTTTTTTTGGGCAAAGAAGGTAACAAAGTAAGTTAAGTAGATAGCATTTTGTTCTAGATTATTCAGTTTTTGATTTTTACAGGTTTTTATTCAGGTTTTTATCAGAAAATTCAGATGCTGACTTTTATCCTATCAAATATTATTAAATGAAAAGTCTGGTCAGCAAGGAATTATCAATGGATCATTATTCATTCCTTATATATGTTCACAGTGATATAATGGATTTAGTGTTAAAAAGTAAAAAAATTAAAACAATAATGTTCGTCTCGATTACTGAGTCTGGGAGCAGCCATTTTTGCCCAAATATAGTAACACCTCAATCCTGACATATCCAGTGACGTCACGGTGCAGTAAACCTAGCGCCATTCTCCCCACTTTACAAGCAAAATCAATAGGAACTGCTATACATATCTATTTCTAGAGGACTTCAACATTGAAATTAGCAAGAGCTGTTCTTAAAGTGACAATGCCCACGTGCATGGCAGTTGGATGTTAATATACATCGGGTAAAGGTGAAAAAAAAAAAGTGTTATTTCACCTTTCCAATTCCTGATCCTCCAACGACGGCTTCATTGTTGGTTTGCTAACTTGAAGAGGGAGGAATTACCATCGAACTTCTGGCACGTAATATGTAGCCAACATTTGGAAGAATAATGTTTTCAAGCTGACTTGGATAGTAGTGCCTTGTGACAAACACCAGATACACCACTGGAACTTGCTTAACAGCCGATACCGCACCGTGACGTCAAAAAACCAGTAGGCGGCAGTAGTGTTCTTTGACAAACATGGATGTCTCTGGTAAAGCACATTCAAATGATATCATAGTGACTGCACCATAGCAACGCATCACTGTGAGCCTGCCAAGGCAGGTGCATCAAGATGTGTGCGCCACAGGAAACACATAACTGTGAGCTTGCACCTGAGCCAGCATATCGTGCCAAGCACCTCAAAGCAGCGCTTATGCAAAATGTCTCACTGCAGCACAATATGCCCAGCGTCACCACAGGTCATTTTGCAAAGCGCTTCACTGCAGTGACTCATGCAAAGCTTTTCATGCCCTAAGCATTTGGCCAAGAGCTTTATGGCAAGTGCAGTTATTGCAGAGAAACTTTCCTTGCAGCGCCATCATGATCCTTACCGGTCAGGTATGTCCCATCCAACTCTAGCAAGTGTTCATTGCCTCAATCTGAAGTTTTAAGCCACTGTCTATTACCTGCCACAAACCAAAGCTTTAGTTTCAGTAGTCTGGCCCAGGACCTCTTTTTTGAGGGAAGACTATTTTAATCCTTTTGCTAAGTTATGTATACAAGTGTATGTCAATACGCAGTATCAAGTCTTCTGCCGGGGTGTGATCACCAAGAAACACATATTCATGTCAATAAAATCTTTCCAACTCCACCTTTCTCTGTGTGAGTGTCTCCAGGTTGAATTAGTACCATATATGAAAGTGGCTGAAACTGGACATTTTCGTGGGGGGCGGTGAAATAATTGTACCTTAGCAATTCAGACTGCTGTGCAAAAGTCACATACTGTATTGGCAAAGGCAATCAGATTTAGGTTGCATTTGCTCACTGTGGGAACATTGCCGGGAATAATCAGCAGTACACAACACTGTGTACCTCTGCTCAATATTAAGATGCATGGCATAAGCTGTGAATACCTATATAGTATAAAAAGTATACAGCATGAAAGTGATTTCATAGTCTTCTCATTTTAAAGGAGACATATCTTGTCTCTTTACACATACAACTTCTCCAAAAATGTATTTTAATTAATTTCTAATTCATTTTAGAAGAAAAAAACATTGAATAGAACTTATTCCGATCCTTTTTCATACTCCATTTTTTCCTCTGAGGGTACGCAAAACAATTTGACATGTGTGTTTGCATGTTTTTGTGGAGGTTATGTAAGAAACATTCGCAGTTTGCAGGGTTAATTAATCTTTTTTACTGATCTTTTAGGCTACGTTCACACTGCAGGCCTTAATGCTCAATTCCGATTTTTTTGTGAAATCGATTTTTTTGGGTTGCCATTCACATTTCCAAATATATGCAACTTGTATGTCATCTCCTTTGTGAACTGCATTCATACAATGCAAGCATCCTGCATGCGCAGTAGAGGACCAATGATGCCACAAGCCAGCGTGCTCTGTGTTTACAGACGTAAACATGGATGGTAGTGCTGTAGCGCATCTACCTTAATAACACAATCTTTTCAATATGGTTAAACATAAATACTGCTCTCTGCATTATCATCCGCCATGGTTGTTGTTTTTATTGCCGCTTCTGCTTACAAGACCCAGAATAGTGAGTGACCTTTGTCGGGTATTAACGGCGTACCGGTTGGATTATAAGTTATATAAACAACAGTTACCGAGTGCACGGCAGGTAATTCTCTGATTGTTAGAATCACCTGTTTTAGAGGAATAAAGGCAGGAGTCAGGATTAAGTTAGCATCCTTCCATCAATGGCATAAATTAAGAAGGAGGTTTAAAGTAATGCTCTGTGGAAAGGAAAGGAAAGCATAAATTGAATTGCATTTTGATTATACCTTTGGAAGCAACATAACTATGTAGAAAACATGTCAATGGATAATCTCTTTTCAGTCATATTGTATCAAAATAAGATCTTTTTTGTACTGTAAGGGCAGAAGATGTTGGTTAGATAGTGGCGATGGGTGGGGGTTGGCAGATTAGTGAAAGCTGTACACTGTATGTGAGTGAGGGTTCGTGTGTTTAACAGGAACTGACCAAGCTGCTTTGTGGTTTCTCATTTGTCGTTCATCAGCTACATAAGAAGTTTAGTGTTCTTAGCAAAGTGTTTGGCTCCACTGAATGATTTAGTGTCAAGTGTTAAATCATGAAAGCTGTTTTTGGATTATTTCTGACCCTACTTAGACTATCAAATGGTGAGTTCTTTTTTTTAACCCTTTGAAAAAAGATGAACTCAGAAACAGTTAATATATATCCTTTAAAACTTTTAAATCAACTAAAGCTGCCAAATAAGAGTTAAGAATGTGTTCTATAAAAGGTAAAGTGATTAAAAGTTTATATGTTTTCTATGTTTTTGCAGCCTACCTTTGTATATTTTTGTTGCATTGGTCTTGTAGGGCTTAGCCATGATTAGCAACGATACTAACAGTCTTATAAATCAGTAAATAAACAACATGTAGCTGACCGGGAAAGTGATTTAGTTTCAGAATAAAGCCAAAAAGCATTAGACAATTAAAAAAAATATTGGTATAAAACACATTATATCACATGGGCCTAGTGGTTAGAAGGTAGGGCATTTACATTCTGAAGAGGTAACAAAAGTGGTGGCTTCAAAATAAGGAATGCCACTAGGTCCCTGTGTAAGACCCTTACAATGGACATGTTTCACCACTGTAGTAATAAAATATATTTTTTTCTTAAATAAGAGTAAAGAGATACTTTTTCACTTATAAAATGAATGTCATATTGCCTTTTTAATGCTCTGAGCTTCCATATTGATGCGTTTTGCACCATGTTTTTTTTTTCTCCCACACTGCTTACATTTGATCACTGATGCACTTTATAGAATGGAAATGTTCTGAAAGCTGTACAAAACAAAATTTTGTTTAGTATAAAAACATAATGCAAAATATAGTGTATACACAAATACAATAAAAGTTGTCTATGTCTTACTGAAATATGGATGAAAAATTTCTTGCACAAAGATGTTGTTGGCAACAGAAGTCTTGGATGGACTGTTTTATTATTATTATTATATTCTTATTATGATTATTACGCTGGAAATCATTTTTTTTTTTTTTTACAATTTCCATTTCAAATAATTATGTTTTATACCTGTTTTTGAATCTACTCTGAAACAGCAGGGAATATCTACTGTGACGGCAGAGAAGATGGTGCTTGGTGTTTTGCTGCTTTGGGAGGTACTGTGATCATCCAGCTAATGAACAGCACCTCAGGAATAACTAAATATGAGTGGAAAAATAAGACAACAGTCATTCTTAAAGGCACAGAAAATAACTTTACTCTTCAGAACAGATCATGTTTTATTCCCAGCAATGGTACAGTTGGAATCAAGAACCTCAACATGACAGACAGTGGTGAATATACTCTGAATGTCTTTGATTCAAAAGGAAAAAATGTTGAAAGCCGAACCCTTCAGTTGATTGTTCAAGGTGAAATAATTTGACAGATTAATTCAGTTGTATTTGCAGATTCACATGTGTTAATTCTAGTTATATAGATCCACTGCTTCATTTTCCACTTGCAGCTCCTGTGTCCTCTGTCCAGTTGGTCACTGAGTGTTTGACTCAGTTAGAGATGAAGGTGTCCTGTCTCTCTGATGGAGGGGACAGTCCACAGTATAGCTGGACTCTGGATGGACACAAACTGACAGACTCTGAGCTTCTCTCTGGACAAAGTGAAACTAACGTCATCATTCTGAAACAAAGTGTAACAGGACGTCTGGCCTGCTCAGTGGGAAACCAAATTAGCGTTGGTTCCAAAGAACAGAATATATCTGCTTGTAAAGGTAGGAATCAATTAAACACAATGGAAGTTGCTCAGAATGGAGACTAATTTACCTTTACTGTTTTTATAAACCACTTTGATATATTCTAAGATTCTTATACCATAAAATGTCCCCTTACTGTGGAATAAGAGAGAAGCATCGCCTTAAAATAGACATTATTGTTGTGTTGCTTTCTGATATAACACCCGCAAATATATCTCACATAAACCCAGAGTTAAATAAAAGCACATCTTTCCATCATGTGCAATTTGCTGCATTACTTTTTTGTAAAACAGGTGAAACTTTATGATCTGAACTTTATGACTCTCTTATATGATTTGTAACCTTCATATAAGAGAAACCATCTTAGATGATGAATAAAACCTATGATATCTTATTTGATGTGCTGTGAATAACTGCTTCATCTGTAAAAGTATTTGATTTGGTTTTTAAACTGTTTCTCAGAATATACAGCAAGTGAAACTCACTGTGATGGTACAGAGGATGGAGCTCAGTGTTTTGGTGCTTTGGGAGGAGCGGTGATCATCCAGCTGACGAACAATATCTCAGGAATATCTGATCATATAGGAGGAAATAGCACATCACTAATACTCAGTGCCAAAGACAATAATTCTTTCTTGAATTTCAATCAAAGCAGATCTTTTTATGTTTCCAGCAATGGTACAGTTATCATTGAGAATCTCAGCAGGACCGACGATGGTCAATATATTTTAGAAATCTTTGATTCTGAAGGACAGAAAACACTGCGAACTCTTCATTTGACTACTGAAGGTGAAAACTTTTTTTTATTTATTTATTTTTTTTTTTTTACTATAATCAGTGTTAATTAATGGTTGTATAAATGTTAATAGTTAATAGAAATGTTTTTATAGGATTCCTATAATTATCAATTCAATTCAGTTTTTTTTTAAAGCGCCAATTCACAACACAATGCATCTCAAGGCACTTTACAGAGACAATTCAACCACATCATAGAGTCAAATTATTATAAAATTATAAAGCACTTTTCTGCACCTTCTGTTGTAAAAAGAATAACATTAAAATAAACTTTGCATTATGAGAAACAGTAAGATGGATATCAATATTTGATTTCCTTTATAAACAGTTCTGATAATGTTTTCTCCTTTTAGCTCCTGTTTCCTCTGTCCAACTGGTTTCTGAGTGTTTGTCTCAGGGACAGATGAAGGTGTCCTGTTTATCTAAGGGAGGGGATAGTCCTCAGTATAACTGGAGTCTGAATGGAAACACACTGAGTGACTCTGAGCTTCTATCTGGACATAGTGAAACTAATATCATCATTTTGAGACCGAATATCCCAGGACGTCTGGTCTGCTCAGTCAGGAATCAAGTCAGCTATGCCTTGGAGGAAAAAGTTCTTTTTGTTTGTCCAGGTAGGAGAAAACAGACCGCAATTCAAATATTACATTTAGTTTTTGAATTTTTTTTTTGAGAATTTACCATTTATTCTATTTTAAAAATCCATGCGATACGATTATCAATAGTTAGTAGTTGCCCCTCATGACAAATAAACGCATTAAATCTTCCTGTGCAATGTATCCTCTGCTGTATAATGTTGGTACAAATATAAATATCTGTGCTTGACTTTACTGTCGCTGTTCCAATATAATTGATTTTAGTTTTGTTTAAACAGATACCTCCCTACTGATACACAGCTTGCTGTTTGTCACAACCCTTCTTTCATGTGCTGTGATCTGCCTCTACTTCCAACTGAGGAAGAACAAATGCAACAGGGAGTTTGTCACATCATGAAAAACAGATTCCACAGAGGAGAAGTAGTCATTTATTTCATGACACCTCAGCAAGTAAACCTTGTTTAAAGTTTAGAAAAAGCAAATTAATGGCATAAACCAACAGCCTATTTCATAGCGTGTTTTTAAGACATGTTGCTCTTTATGAGATATTAAATGCTAAATTATATGTAGATATGTTGTTTTTAGATGCTGCAGTCTACTCCAAGGGTATGTTTATCCTAACTATTTTCGTAGAGTTTTTTTTTTTACTTATCTAGCAAGAAGGTCCTGGGTTCAAGTCCTGGTCAGGGACCTTTCTTTGTGGAATTGGAAAGTTCTCACAGTGTCTTCGTAGGTTTCCACCCGGCAATCCGGTTTCCCCTTCCATTAAAGACATGCTGGTCAAGTCAGATTAGCCTTTAATGGCGATGTGCTTTGCTGCAGAAGCTCAGGCTTACCCTCCATTTGACCTCTGAAATTTCTTTATATGTACCCTGTATGTATAATGAGAAATAAAACACATTTAATGACAATAAATATTTTTGATTAATGATTAGCATTATGCTTCTGAAGTCTGCTATTGATTATATGAAAGATTAAGAAAATATATTTTTTTTTCAATTAGTTTTCTTTCGATGTCTGCTATAACCAGAGTAGCCAAAAGTTGTACTTAGGTACAGGTCTCAATTCCTCAACATACTTTTTCCATCAGAGAAATTACTTAAGGATAAACACAAGCATTTTCTAAAAATGCTTCTCAAGTACTGAGTAAAGTTCGATCAAAAATTCGTTATCTGACATTATACATTTCTATACTGTAGGAAACTGAGAACACTGTCTATTCTACTACTGTTAAGTCATGAACTGCTACTGTTCATGACTTACATTGACATTTGTTAGCAATTATATATCTAATCAGTGGGACTGATTTATATTGACCACCTTTAAATGTTAATACCCTCAAGTTATTAATCATTAACTATAATTTATAATAAGTATAACTGGAAGATGTTTCTGTACTTTAGTTATTAACTCAAAAAGGGGGTAAATCAAAAACTTGTAGAGACAAAACAATCACTGGTAAAAAAAAAAAACAAAAAAAAACATAAAATACCAAACTTTATATAGTGAATTTATTTTAATGCAGTTTTACCAAATAATAAACCAACAAACTGGCAGAAACAGGTCTGGCAGGAACCAGCAGGAGGAGGCATCACTGCTTATGCAGCAGATTGCAAAGGGGAGAGTGACGGCTTCATCCACCAAAGCATGCTCCTAGGTCACATTGGGTTTTGCAGCCTAATGGTGCATTCACACTGAATGCATTTTGGACGTCAAAGCATCTGATTTACTTCCGCCACCTCACATTCATTTAGGCATGGCTAGCAATAAGCAGCAAAAACGTATTTCTGACTATTTCGAGGTAAGAAATGGTTTTAATTCCCCTATTTAGCGTTATTAATGTGCCTATTCGTCTTAGTCCTGTGGCTGAAGAAGTCTACGCTAGAATAAGGCTGCATATCACTAAACATTATGTCTGTATTAAGCTATTTAGTGATAAAATATGAAATTAGTTAATTTTTTTTTTCGGTGTGTTTTTTGTTTCAGATATGAAATCATTCCCCCATATCCATAGTCGAATGGACTTTCAAGACGTTCAATGCTCAGTTTAGGCTATATTTAGGCCATGTTTTATTCAAGTATTCCTGATCCTGTTGATTGTGAGCTGTTGTTTGTTTTGAATGATTAAAAGAGAAGAAATAAAGTTTAAAATGTTCATGCTTTGTTCCGATGCATTTTAAATGGCAGTTTTTGGCGACAAATGTTGGCCTACAATATTATGTTAAAAACGTCAGCCACAGCCCTCAACATAATGACGTCATGTGTTTTCCAACCCAGCCATCAGCCCCCCTCGCTTGAAACAGCTTCCAGCGCGCCTGCTTTTTAGGTATCTATAGTTTACTCCATTACTTATTTTTCTTACTACCTCTGAATTACATTTCTTACATTTTTAGAACAAAAGTTACTCGTTACTCTTTGCTTCGGTTTATTGTTTATAAATATTTATTTCACGTAATGTGCGCCATCCAATGCAGATCATTGGCTCCATCCACATCTAGTGAAAACAAGTGTGATTGGATGAGTCATATAAGGCAAAAACTCATTGGTTAGCTAAAGGAAATCATCAGAAACAAGCAGGTGTTCTTCAAACTGAAAATGTGAATTGTCTATGCCATGCTACAATGTTGGATTCAGAAAAAGATGTTGAAATGTCTGAAAGGTCGGACACAATTTTCCTCTCGAAGCAGCAGTTTTTCGTGCCTGTGTGATTTGTATGTTTATTTTGCTTGCGGACAATTTGAAATCATTGTGACACCATACTTCTGACTTAAATTCCTTCCAGTTCTGTGCTCTGTGTTTTTATTTTTATGTAAAAGAGCTGTAAACACTGCTGTCAAATTTACATTCTTTGTAAGTGTATACCCCTCTGTCTTTTTCTTAGACGTCCTACATGTAGATATGAAAAAAAAAAAAAAAAACTCTATATCAGTGCTTGGCTCAAACAATCCAGATGATACTGATACATCTAACTGGTACAGTAATACTTGTTTGCTGATTGGGGTGTTTGGTGTGATTGCTGCTTAAATGCACTTTTAAGGCATTTTGTGATTTAAAAGTACATTAACATTGTTCATGTAAGCGAGGAAAGTGTTCGGATCTTGCTTAACCCCAAACTTTTAACTTTGCCCAAAAAAATTTACTCTGTTTTCGCAGCTAATGAGGCAGTGCTTATATTTTCAATGCATGATATATAACATCACTTTAAGCCCCAAATGTTCGCGTATGTTATGTGGAATAGAAAAATTAGATAAATATTAAGCAATTAAAGCCATTATGGTCTTATACGTCAAGCACAACTTCACTACTTCCTGAACTTAAGGCATCTCCCGTGTTTCTTGTTTTTATTACTGGTTGAACTCACTAATCAAGTTGTGTCTGGCCATTGTCGTCATGGTTACTGTGGATTATATGAAAATCTGATCGTTTTCTGGAAGACATGTTAAACTCTTCCTATGGGTTTCTGGGCTCTGTGGGCATGAACAGGTTATAGATTGACCTATGTCTTTGTTAGAGTTTCATAAGGTGTCATAACTTCTGTTTCTCACATCTGCAAAGTTTCTTTAACTTTGGCTCATCAGAATCGAGAGACATTTTTAAACTATCCACACAATGGTGTCTGGTAGCTGGTTTGAACTACTAAAAGCTGCCGCTGGATTGTTATTGGTGCTACTGGAAGTTTCTTTGTGTGAGTTGCAAATTTGTTTTAACATAATGGTTCATTAATTTTATATTAACGGAATTTATACATTTAAAACAGTTAGAAATCTTGTCTGAAAACTCAGATAAACTGTTGCTGCTACAAGGGAATGAATCCTTAATAATAAATAGCAAGTGTTCTGTCAGACCAGCATACCTAAAGTCAGATTTTCGTTTATCCCTTTAGTTTTGTGGGAAAAAAAGACTTTAAACTACCTCGACGTCCGTGTATCTCTTTAGTCATGTACAAAAACACAATTTAAGGTCAGATCGGCATACGCTTCAAAAAACACCAAAAAGAAAGTAATTAAAAGGGATACATTCCCGGTGAGGTAGTTTAAAGTGTTTTTTTCCTACAAAACTAAAGGGGTAAACCAAAGGGACAAACGGGTATTGACTATTGTTATGTTGGTCTGACCGGGTATGCTCATCTGACAAAACTCCGGCAAAATCAGAAAAACAAAAGAAAGAAATGCATGGTATTTGGTATATCCATTTTGAAAAAAAAAAATAAAAATCTAGCATCTATTCTGTTTGTTTCTATCCTCATCTCACTGCTCTTTAAATTTACCACCCGTTCTGATCTCCAATTTAGAATAGAGTTATCCCTGTTTTAAAATATATTTAAATTATATTTAATAGAACAGATGCAAAGTTATGTCTAATGCATTCAGATGGAGGAACACAGCTTTAATCAAGGAAGCTTAGGGGCTAACCACTGATTTTTCTCCGAGGTGTTACTTACAGTAGGTCAATAAAGTAGGAATGCAGGACGGACAGTAGGCTCCTTATGGAAGAGGATTAGGGCCACTGGAAAAAAAAAAGTGAACTGATTTTTCAATTTTATTTCAGTTTAATATGGGAAAAAATTCTGACTTTAATATCAGAATCCTGACTTTAATCCCAGAATTCTGACTTTTTTCTCAAAATTCTGAATTTAATCTCAGAATTCAGACTTTTTTCTCAGAATTCTGACTTTAATCTCAGAATTCTGACTTTAATATCAGAATTCTAACTTTTTCCCCCCATATTAAACTGAAATAAAATTTAAAAATCCTTTAACTTTTTTCTTTTTTCAGTGGCCCTAATCCTCTTCCGTAGTTCCTTATATGCACCAGTAGATGGCGAGATGAGAGACAGGTGTGTGCAGAGAACATGCTTCCTGACTGCAGTAATCAGCCATATCCAGGGCAACAGTGACCTCTAGTGGAGACACTCAAAACACAGAAAGCAAATCCAAAGACTCCAATCCAAGACAATGTTAATGTGAATTTACACCAAATAAGAATAAGGAGAATCTTTGGCGTTGTCCAGCTTCTGTTGGTTACACCTGTCAGTTGCATTCTATTTGTGTGAAACATTGCAGTAAAAGAAGCTGGGCAAAACTGAATTATCATCGAATAGCAAGAGCATCTATCTGCTTGCAGGTTTCTTTTGTGTCTTCAACCCACCATGTTGGATCATGACTTAAAGTGGTACATTTGGCACCTAGTATAAGGACCTGTACCGTGTTTAGAAACCAATACACAGGCTTTCTCTGTTTTTGGGGGAGCATTAATCACCCCGTCAGCCATCTGGCAAAGTTAACTAGCTGTAGGAGCAGCAGGAATATGGACACCTTTATTAGGCTATATTCTTCCACTAGAAAACATTATAAAGCTTACTTTACTTACAAATACAATACTTTGTATTGTATTTCATTTTTTGAACATTTTTCATCAATATTTCCTCACAATTGTCATAATCAATTACATTGCAGCTCTGATACATGAAAATATTTGGCTGTTTAATAAATTGTGCAGAAGCAAAAGCGAAAAACAAAAACAAAACTGCACCATAATCATAGTTATTTTTATTTTTTGTTATTAATGTTTTTTGGACTTTGCGAATGACCCTCAACTATAATGTTTTTACATTCTTGTCTACAAATTTGCAGCTAAGGAAACTCACTGTGATGTTAGACAAGATGGAGCTCAATGCTATGGACGATTGGGGTCTACAGTGGTCTTCCATCTCATGGATAGCAGCTCAGATATACATAAATTTGAATGGAGATACGAAGGATCAACAATCCTGAGAGAAAGAAAAAATATGTTTTTTCCACATCCCCACCTGAAGAATTATATCTTTATTCCTAGCAATGGTAGCTTTATAATAAAGAACCTCAGCAGGACTGACGGTGGTGAATATACTCTGGAAACTTTTGATGCAGATGGAAGGAAAATGGGACAGCATGCTCTTCAGCTGTATGTTCAAGGTGAATGACCTTACTGCTACATAAAGTAATGATAAATGTTCATCTTACGCTAAGTTTATTATATTACATTATAGTTTTCTAGTCAAATCTCTTTCCTTCAGCTCCTATAGCCTCTGTCCAGCTGATTTTGGAGTGTTCGTCCCAGTTAGAGCTGAGGGTGTCCTGTCTCCCCATGGAAGGAGACAGTCCTCAGTACAGCTGGTCTCTGGAAGGAAACCAACTGACAGACTCAGAGCTCCTCTCTGGTGATAGTGAGTCAAACATCATCCTTTTGCGAAAGAATATATCTGGACGTCTCCTCTGCTCAGTCAGGAATAACATCAGCAGCGCCTCAAAAGAGCAAATCATATCTGCTTGTGAAGGTGGGAAAAAAACGAATTAATTTAAATATTTCCTTTAGATATAAGTTTATAAAAATAATAGTAATATATGCAAACATTATAGTTGAAAATGTTACAAATTCATTGCTAAAGTGCTTGTACACAGAGGGGCTCTTAAATTCAAGCCTTCTGCTATATAATTAGTATATAATTACAGTATCATATAAATTTTAATGTTGTCATGATGCTAACATAACTTTTTGGACATTTTCCTTATGTCTGAACAGATACCGCCGTGCTGAGATGTGCTCTGATGTTTGTTGCAGCCATTCTTTTATGTGCTGGAATTGGCCTCTATTTCACAAGGAAGGAGAAAAAATACAGGAAAGAATTTAACAAACCACACGAAAAAGAGAATCCTGATGACTTTGAAGTAACTGAACATTTGGCTGATGATTAATTGTTATCCTTTCAAGATAACTTTTGATGATATAAAAAAAAAATATCAGTTCATTTTTTATTTTAAAAATCCTCTTAAATTTCTGAAAAATAAGTTGTTTTGTATTTTAGGCTGCTTTAATCTCTTGATAAATGTGAAAAAAAATTACTTACCCAGCATTTCATAGAAAATATATATGGGTAACTATATTGTAATTTTATACAATTCATCCTTTTGTTTTATGTTACAGTAAAAATAGTCCATATACATTCTAAAATTTTCTTTTGAAAGTTTTACAGGCTGTTATTGTTATTAGGCTATATATCTTTAAAATTATGTTTTCTTGTTGTTGGTTTTTCGTTAGATTTGTAAAATGTTACTTTAAAATTAATAAATATCTAAAGATGTATTACCAGTTTGGCTTCTGGGTCTAATTTTATTTATTTAATTTTTAATTTAATGAGTGCTAAATGGGTCATTGTTAAGCCTTTTCTGTTTCTAACCTCCCTCCCTCACTTCATCCAGCCAGCCAGCTTAATCGGTCAGGTTGGGGCCAGTGCCTATCTCCTTCAGTCTATGGTCGAAAGGCATTGCGCATCTTTATTAACCACTCCTTCATCTCACTTTTTTTTGTTGTCATTTTGTATCCACAGTGTATACAAAACGAAATTTTGTTTTGTACAGCTTTCAAACTAAATGAGCAGCAGCTTAGCTGTGAAATCAACATTTCCATTCCATAAAGTGCAGCAGTGATCAAATGTAAACCGTGGGGGAGAAAAAAAAAACATCCTGCAAAAACAAATAGATATGGAAGCTCAGATTACTAATATTCACTGCTCAAATAAATTAAAGGAACACTTTGTAATTTGTAATCAGAGTATAGCAGCAAGCTAATTAAACTTCTGGGATATTGATTTGGTCAGGTAAGTAGCAGAGGGGGTTGATAATCAGTTTCAGCTGCTTTGGTGTTAATGAAATTAACAACAGGTCCACTAGAGGGGCAACAGCAAGATGAGCATCAAAACAGGAATGGTTTTACAGGTGGAGGCCACTGACATTTTCCCCCCTGCTCATCTTGACTCTTTTTCACCAGTTTTGCATTTGGCTAGGGTCACTGATACCTGGACCCTACAGAGGTTGCACAGGCAGTCCAAATCCTCCAAGATAGCACATCAATATGTGCCATCGCCAGAAGGTTTATTGTTTCTTCCAGCACAATCTCAAGAGTATGGAGGAGATTCCAGGAGACAGGCAGTTACTCCAGGAGAGCTGGACAGGGCCATAGAAGGTCTACAACCCATCAGCAGGACCGGTATCTGCCCCAAAATGACCTCCAGCAGGCCACATGTGTGAATGTCTCTGACCAAACAATCAGAAACAGACTTCCCGAGGGTGGCCTGAGGGCCGGACGTCCTCTAGTGGGCCCTTTGCTCACTGCCCGGCACCGTGGAGCTCGATTGGCATTTCCCACAGAACACCGGAATTGGCAAGTCCGCCACTGGCACCCTGTGCTTTTTACAGATGAGAGCAGGTTCACCCTGAGCACATGTGACAGACGTGTGAGGGTCTGGAGAAGCAGTGGAGAATGTTATGCTGCCTGTAACATCGTTCAGCATGACCAGTTTGGTGGTGGGTCAGTAACGGTCTGGGGAGGCAGATCTATGGAGGGACGCACAGACCTATACAGGTTAGGTATCAGGACGAAATCCTTGCGCCCATTGTCAGACCTTTATTTGGTGCAGTGGGTCCTGGGTTCCGCATGGTGCACGAGGATGCAGGAAGTTCCTGAGGGATGAAGGAATTGATACTGTTGATTGGCCTCCACGCCCGCCTGACCTAAATCTAATAGAACACCTCTGGGACATTATGTTTCGATCCATCCGATGCGTCCAGGTCGCACCTCAGACTGTCCAGGAGCTCACTGATGCCCTGGTCCAGATCTGGGAGGAGATACCCGATGACGGCATCCGTCGTCGCATTAGGAGCATGCCCCAACGTTGTCAGGCATGCATACATGCACTTGAGGGCAATACAAATTACTGAATACCATTTTGAGTTGCTGCAATGAAATTTCAGTAAAATGGACTACCCTGCCACATAATTTTTTCACTGTAATTTTTGGGGTGTCTTTGAATGCAGCCCTCTGTAGGTTGATAATTTTAATTCCAATCAAATGATGTGGCATCCTTTTGTTCCTAACAATTCACCCAGTCCATATCAGTATAAATAAATGAAGAAATAAGGCAGACACCCTGTCTATTTTTAAGGGTAGGTTTAAAACTTTCCTTTTTTAAAAGGTTATAGTTAGAGTTGCTTAGGTTATCCTGAGCTATCTTTATAGTTATGCTGCTATAGGCTTAGACTTTTGGAGGACATAGGGACACCTATTTCATCATTCTGCTTCATTCTATATCTATTCTCCCACTCTGCAGAATCTGTTAGTTCAATCTCGTTATGCTCTCTCTACTTTTTCTCACAGTAGCTTTGCCTTGTCTGTTCCTGTTTGGCTCTGACTCCATCCTGGAGAGAAATATCAACTGTGCTGCTGCCATCAACACCCTTGTTTATAGATGTTGGATATCGGCCTGTTTTTCCAGTGTAGTCCTGTTTCTCTGACCCAGACTGGCTGGATGTGCTCTCTTCATCCTCTGACATGGGAGCTGGCTCGGAGCTCGTCTGCCTGGCTGTGTCTTTTCTGGACTGGGCCGCCTTTTACAGTCGATTTTTGTATCTCTGCTTCTGTCTCCTTGAACCCCAGTCGGCCTCAGCAGATGGCGCTCACACTTAGCCTGGTTCTGCTGGAAGTTTCTTCCTGTTAAAAGGCAGTTTTTCTTCTCCACTGTCACTACAAGCATGTTTAGTGTGAGGGATTGCATCTGAGTGAATGAGTTGATGCAATCAACTGGTTTTCCTTAGATAGAAAACTTTGAATCAATTTGACTGTATGATCTGGTGAACTGTAAAGTGCCTTGAGATGACATGTGTTGGAATTGGAGCTATATAAATAAACTGAATTGAATTGAAAGACACTCCTGGAAAAACCTCCCTTATCCAGTGAAGTACTCTCTCTCTCTGCCAACTATCTGGAAAGACCTGCCTGCCCTCCAACGACTCACCCACCTGCATCTCCAAGAAAACATCCAGCCTCCGAACCTCAGACCTCCCTGGCAGACCCAACCAGCCCACCCAGTAAGCACCTGTCTAAGTAGGTTCCCAGCCAGAATCTAAACCTTCCACTAACCTCTCCCTTTCTCGATGTTCAGCTTGTGGATGACCCAGCTACAGAGGCTCCTTCATAACAAAATTAATTCCTTCTGTTTTTACTATCAGTTTTTAAGGGAAAACAAACCTTTTGATCTGAATTCATCCTTCTCCTTGCGTGTTCTCTACACATGGGTCCAACATCTTGCTTCAAACATGACAGTTTACTGTTATTTTAAGATTGTTTCTCCATGTCATTATAGAAGTCTAAGTTTTAGATAATAGTCTAATTTCTTTTCTGTGTCATCCCAGTTCTTTTTAGTTAGACTTAGAATGAGCTTTATTTTTCCCTTGGGATCATTCCTTCAGGGAAATTCTGGTTCCAGTAGTAATAAAGGGCTGACTTAAAGCAAGATGCCAATAAAGATAAAAAAAAAAATACAACAGACAATATAAAAAGAGTGTATATAATACAAAATATATTTAAAAAAGTGGTAATGTCCTGTAATGTCTTTCATTTAGATATAAAGATATCTACATATCATATAATATACAAGCTATTACCTATTATATTTCCTGGTTGCTTCCCCTTGCCCCCTAGCGCCTACTCCTTCCCTCAGAGATTCTTCTGAGTGTTCACAGTTAGTTACTCTATTCATTGTTCAGCATTCTCCTCCCCATTATATAAGCTCCTCTCATTTTTCAACTCATTGCTGGTTCCCACTGATTGTGCCTTTTACCCTAGCTTATGGTCCAGTGGTTTACAACTGCTGCTTTAATTTATGTGTTGTTGTTTTTTTTTCTGGCTCCTGTGTCCTTTGCTTTTTTATTTTATTTTTTTGAGAGCTTTGAATTATTTATTTAACAACCAGCAAAGTATCTTACTGCTCTATCATTCTGCATTTTGGTCATTACCTAATCATGACAGCAGTGGTAAGTTAGCACTTGTTGTGATTCTATAGGCCCACCAATCAGGGACGCCATATAAATGTTGTGATTCTATAGTCTTTTCTATTCCGAGCCCGCTGGGAATTTATGTTTCTGAAACTTTAAGATGTTTATTGCCCTCCCCTGTAGGGGTGGTAAAACATCATATTTAATCAGATGTTATTTCAGCTGTTATATATTGTTTACAGAACAATAGATGAAAGAGCGATTCGAGCACTATTTATGGTCAAACAGTTAGTTCTGCACATACATGGAATAAATTCACTACAACTTTTGTTCAAAATATAAGATTTTATTGACAAAAATCATTCAGCTCCAAGTCAAACGTATTTCAGTTTAACACTCTCAACTAAGACTAGTAAAACTCAACTAAACTAAACTAACTACTATGTACAAAGAGGAAGGGGAAAACGGTTGAAAAACATATTACAGTTTAAGATGGATCTTGTGTTTGAAACCAAATTTTATCTGGAAGAATTTGGGATGTGATCAAATCAGCTTTTCAGTAATTTTAAAGAAATTGGAATGTTTTCAGACCAATTCACAATGCAAATACATGAGGTGAATAAAACATTATTTGGCCAAATAATGTTTTATTAAATGATTTCCTTAATCAAGAACCAAAAACCTTTAGTTAAATGATTCTTTACTCTCTTTGAAATAGCTAGCAGCGAATAGGCATCAGGATTCCACTATGTGACTCTTGGTCATACTTTGTAATGGAAATGTAATGAGCATCAGAGGAACACATGAACACTAATGTTATATCAGTGTTTAAATCCTTAGTGAATAAAGCTTTTCTAAGTTTTAGCAACAGCTCAACACATATTCCTGTAGCATAGCGTAGCATGCTGTCTATTCTTTAGTGTCAATTAGCGTAGTCTTTACTCAGCAGTAGACACATGATATGATTAGCATCATCAAAAGACATATTGTTTGTTCTGTCCCTAATCATGCCAAACCTGTAAACCTTTTTCCATGTCCATTTGGAAAGCTTGAGTTTTATCCAGTTTTGCAGCTCTGCAGTCAGGGGTTCTTTGTCTCAGTCTCACAGCAGGGGTCTCCTCAGGCTCACACCCAGGGCATGGTTCTCATCCAGTTTGGCTCTCTAAGTTCTG